AAGAAAACGGTCTATGATGTGCTGTAATCAGCTGGTGGCACTTGAAATAAATTTCAAGGCCAAAAGACCCTGCCTTCTTTCAGAGAAGGCATTCCTGGCAAATAGAAGACAACACGAAGGCAGAGATAGAAATAAACATGGCAATCAGTCTAGACTTTGTAAAGATTTAGTAGTCAAAAGCTGTGTCTGTCAGTTAAGTATTTCATATAGCTTTTTTCATAGAATTTTTACTTGATTATCATATATATGTGACTATCAAACATCTTAACACCTGGCTTTGGTTGTCAGACATTTTCAAATCAATTCAATAACATTTATAATATACACTGTATAGATTTTTATGCCTAGCATCATGCTAGGCATTATAATATATAGAAACAGGGAAGAATTCATGGTCTTATCTTTGAAGATGTTGTTGCTTTAATAGGAGAAAAGGTAGAACAAATACAATAATTAAAGATGCCATCAAACCAAGGCCACTCAAATAAGTTAAATTATGAAAATCCCTATGTATACATTTCCAAGTGAATAAAGGCCTCCCAGTCCTTTGCATATGCAGGAGCTATTCCCCCACACATCTGATCCTCTGCTCATATCCATTGTATCTCTTTCTAGGGCCTAAGTTATATTGATGGTGCTCTGCCAGCTAGAGACCATCACTGGGCACTTGCCAAACCCATACCTATCTCTCACTGACTCTCTGGTTTCCTTTCAAGGTCAGCGAGCACATACTGTAGTCATCCCATAATTCCCACCTTCTTCCCCCTTGGTTTCTCTGCCTTTTACTACTCATTGTTCAGTTACTTTCACCTCAAACCCCTTTCACACAAAGATGCACCCTCTTTGGGCCTGACCTGTTTCTTCTGTTTCTTCTAACTCTTGCCAGTGAATTCAGGAAAGAACACTACACTAGTGCTCTCATGTTCCCTCTCTCTTTGAACAAAAATATCTCTGTCATCCTGGATGCCTCCCATAGAAATATTGCTAGCGACCCTCCTGTATTGAGGAAAGGGAAGGTATTATGTTTAAATGTGAAGAAAAGAATGGTGTTGAATCAGTGACCTCAGCCTCTGAAGCCTTTGAAAGTACACAGAAGTTCTTTTCTGAATCTCTATTAAAAAATCTTTCGTTAGACATTTACAAGTGCTTCCTTCAAAATGCCTACTCAAGATAAAATGTTTAAAATATAAAATTTCATTTCTTATTTATTACAAAAAACATGTTGTAAGTTTTTGTTTTTCTCCATAATATAGAATATTATCTGTTAGTCTGTCATGAAACCTGTTTCTAATCTGATTATTTATTAGCTTGAGAAAGATTGTTATCTTTCAGAATGTTAGAGCAAGTCAGGGAAGAATTATAACAAATATTACATATTTTAAAAATAAATTAAAACAACTTAAACAACTATATTATGTAAGCTTATATAAGCTGCTTAAACAATATATAAGCTACTTAAACAAGAGAGTTGACTGAACATTCTGAATTCCAAATAAGCAACATTCACATACATTTTCAAATGTAAGGCAGTTATAAATTGAAGCTGTCTCATATAGTTTGAAATGAATGGAATAAATAATACCTATTATATGAATATAAGGGAGAGAGATGGGGGAGGTGACAGAAACAGATAAATGGTTACAAGTTTGAGAAAACCTTTTGCACGGAAAGTAAAACTTGAACTGAACTCTGAATACTAAACATTGCTATGATAGGGAACCGTTGAAGGAATATCTCAAGTTGGGAAAAGACTACTGGTAAAAAGATATATTTGGTTGAAACATAAACTTCTTATGGAGGAGAAAAGGAGACATTGACAAATCAGGATTGAGCCAATTTGTAGTGTTTTTAAACTCACATTAAAGAGGTTAGTGGATTTTTCCCCACAAATAATGGAAAGCTATTGAAAGTTTTGAAGGATTGCAATGAATTTGACAAAATCGTTTTCAAAAATCATCCTCTCTAGTGATGTTAGAGAAATTGGAAGGCAAGCGACTAGATAGGAGACCATTTGTGACCACATGCTTGTGAGATGCCAGGGACCTGGAATAATGTTGTGGGAATGTCAAAGGAGGGGAACTAGGACAAATTCTTCAAACACGATGTGACAAAGTCTTGAAGTAGTAAACGAGGCAAGGAAAGATGATGAGTCAGAAATAATAGTGAGGTTTCAGATGGGGTGACAGGGAGAATGAAGGACAAACCTGATAGCAGAAACAGGGAGGTCAGAAGGGAAAACTGGATGGATGAGAGGAAGGAAAGAGTTAAGTACATGGGGGATTTAGTAGTATCAGTAGAAATTTAATGGAACTACATATGTCATTTAAAATTGTCTGACAGCCAACTTCAAAACAGTAAGAAAAAATAGGTGAAATTATGTTTGATAATGCTTTGTTTACCCCCAATATATTCAAAATGTTATCATTTCAACATATAATCAATTAAAAAGTATTACCAATATAGTTTACATTCTCTTTTTAAGTTTTTGAAATCTGGTGTCTATTTTGCATTTCTAGCTAATCCCAGTTGAGCCACATTTCAAGTGCTCAGTAACTGCTTGTGGCTAGTGGCTACCATATTGGACAGCACATTATTAGACAGTCATAGAACTGACAAAAATGATTTGGCACATTTCTTAATTAAGATGGTTCTAAGACTGTATTTTGGAAATTATAATTCTGTATATTATTTCTCCTCTATTTCTTTTGTTTTAGCTATTTTAGATTCATGATGTTCTTTTAGCAGAACATCATTCTTTTCCCAAAGCACCAAGACTTTTGAGAAATATCCATGATATACTGTTTTATTGCCTAGAGTTGCTGCTGTCTCATTTAATTCTCTGTTTGACTTACAACTTTAATAAATAAATGTCTGAATACATTTTCTTCTTTCTTTGTCAGTCTTCAAAGTTTTGATTATGAAACAATTTAGCAATATGTCCTCAAAAACCTGGGATAAATGACATTTAGTACTTTGGATATGAGGACCATTTTTCATGTTCCCCAGTCTGCATATGTGTGTGTATTTCTCCAGTGTTTAATATCTGACATAAACTTGCTGGAGTTTTGGTCTTCACGATATGCTAAAGAATGCAGTACAAAAGAGAGCCTATTTCTATAGAAAACAAGCCAAGGACATTGTGTTCCATCTTTACAATGAAATTCAGATTTCCCATTAAAAGGGAAATCTATCATTTCAAAAGGTTGAATAGGATGGTGCTTTAAAAGAATCCAGCTGCTTAAATTTAGGGCACTGAAAAACATTCAATTAAAAAAAATGTTCCCTGGGTCTCAAGCATTTTCATTTGATTATGTATTGGATAGATTTTCATTAGGTCTAGAATTTTGCCTCTTAGAATTCTGTCCTAAAATAATTTGACAACTGTTTTGAGAAAGTTGGACTCAACTATGGTAGCTCATTTATGATTAAATTATGTATTTGCTGTTTAGAATATTCTTGTGTTTGATAATATATTCTTAACTTTTGTTGTAGAAATATTGGACTATTCTTACAGTGCTTTACTTTTTTGTGCCTATTGTTGAGCCTCTCCCAGTGCTATTTAGTTTCCTTCATGTTTCTTCTTTTCTTTGAAGACATTGTCTGTCAGAACAGCCATTTTGTTCTCTAAGCAGCTTCCTTCAATGTTTTCAGTCACCTGTTCACATGACTTTTTGTAGCCAAGTAGAGTGCCATCTTTTTGCTATTCTAATGTGCTCTGCCCAACTTTTTTCTGATTAATTTATGAGTAGGAAGTGGAAAGGCGGGTGATACTCCCTACAATACAACATGTTACCCACAAACTGACTAGGGAGCACAGAAGAGCTCTATGCTACGCAGCTGAGCTATAAATTCTCAAGGAAGTAGTCTATATGCTGTAGGAGCAAAAGGACTTATGTCAGACATATTTGTATGATGCACGTATTTCCCATGGGCATTAATAGTCGTTTATTAAAAGTTATGACTAAGTCTGCATTCTCTCCAGCTCTGGACTTTAGCCCTGCTCTCTTTCAGGGGTAACACCAGAGATGTAGCCTGGGAGCATACAGAGGACCATGGTTAACAAGGGCAGTGCTTGTTATACCCCTGGTAATAGGTATTTACTAGGTTTCTTAAATTGAGTATTTGGCTCTCCCCTACTCGTTGTTAGGCATTTTTACATATAAATAATATTGCCCCAGGCCAGTCCCTAAAAGTAAATGTTTCCAATAACTTTTTGGCATCCAATGTTCTACTAACACTAATTTGGTCACATTTGCAGACCTCACCTCTGCAATGTTCATATTCTTCCTAAACAATTGTTAATTTTGAAAGAGAGTTTGTTCTAGTTAATATCAGTCCACTTCTAATGAAGTTTTCCCCAAAGAGCTCAACAATTTTATGGAATAATTCTTTTTCAGAATTCGTATTTTATTCTAGACCCAAATGAGCAAGTATTTTTTATGCTTTATCATAGTTTATGGGGGGTATTTCATACTGGGGTCCTGTGCTTCCACTTCCCTGCCAACACTGGCTATCAAAACTGCTTAGGCTGCAAATAAAGCAAGAAATGAAATCCATCTGGCATTTCTCATTGAATTAGGACCAGAACATTTTTGTTAAATATTAACAGATGGCTAAAGTCTTAATATCAAACTAACATTTAAAAACATCTAAAAGGACCCACATGAGGGGGAAAGGACAGAGGACCATGTGTTTTCTCCATCTCAGAACCCTTCCTGTACACTTCACCCCGCCATTTTTCCAACCCACATGTTGAGAATCACTGGGGCCTCCTATCTCTAATAACTTTTATGCCTTAATAGTTGGTATCAAAATAGGGTTTGATGATATTATCAAGATAGTGTAATCAAGCGTTAGCCAAGTCAGGTGATGTGTTGCCATTGGCATGCCTCAAGATCTTTTATTAAAGTCAATTTTCTGTCTCTCCTCTCCTCTCCTCTCCTCTCCTCTCCTCTCCTCTCCTCTCTCCCTATCTCTTTTCTGTCTCTCTCTCATAATAGGAAAAAGAAAAGAAGTACATGCTTCCCTTGGACAACCTGAAAGTTCGGGATGTGGAAAAGAGCTTTATGTCTAGCAAGCACATCTTTGCACTCTTTAATACAGAGCAAAGGTAAGAAATTGAAACAGTCCCTGTCTTCAGATTTTTTTCCCTGAAGTTCTACATGATTCAGAGATCATATTTGAAAACAGTTCCTTTGGTCGCACCTTGAAATTTGTCTACTCTTCAGTTTTCCTTTCATTTATTTTGTATTTTTAAATTCCACCATGGGTTATGGCTTCAAAATATAAAAACTCATACTAAAAAAGATCTTCAAGTGTTAACTAATTATTTCTTGCTTTTCCACCTGGCATGAAAATAATTCTTCATCCATTTGGTTTTTTTTTCTTTTTGCGACGGGATCTCGCTTTCTCATCCAGACCAGAGTACAGTGCTGTGATCGTGATTCACTGCAGCCTCGAACTCCTGGGCTCAAGCAACACTCCTACCTCAGCCCTGTAGAGTAGCTGGGACTACTGGGTTCATGCCACTGTGCCTGGATAATTTTTTAAAAATTGTTTTGTAGAGATGGGGGTCTTGCTGTGTTGTCCAGGTAGTTAACCTCAAACTACCTGGGCCCAAGAGATTCTCCTGCCTTGGCCTCCCAAAGTGCTGGGATTACATGCATGAGCCACTGCACCCAGTCTGTCCATTCTTAAAGCTGCATTTTATTACCTTAAAGTCTTTCTTGTCCCAATATATTGTTTACATACTTACAAACTACTCGATGACAATTTTAAAAGTATCTTTCTAACGTGAATGGATATCACTTAAGCTTTTGTTGAAGAGCAGACAAATTTCACATATTATGACTAAATTCAGTGAATAGAATTATTCAGTTAAGGTAAATAAAAATGTATAGTATTTTACAGTTTTTCAAAGTGCTGTCTACATTCATTGTCATTGGTTTTTGTAACAGCTGCCCTTGAGGTTAAAAGGATACAGTTATAAATAAGAAAGTGTAGGCTCAGGGATGTTAACTCACTTTCTTAAGGTCATAAAACTAGTGCATGGGGGAGCTGGAACTTGTATCAGGACTTCCTCTAAGTACACTTTTCCTTCCACTCATTTTCCATTGTGTGCTTATTTTATTTCTGTTGCTCATGTGCAGTATCAAAACTGTATTTTGAGCTGATCATCACAGAGTTCCATGATCTTCACTGAAACTTAGCAGTAAAGTTAAATAAGCAAATGGAGAGGTAAGAGAGGATGGGCTAGAGAAGTGTAAAAGGGCTACAACTAGGAAAGGATAATAAAGGAGAGTTTTTGCAAATGAAAATGTTTTAGGAAGAAGCTAATTAATTTGTGTGAGTCAGTTATTAAGACAGTGAGTCATTAAGGTAACAGGATCTAATTTTAACCCATTTTTCGAGACTGCCTTTTGTCTTTATTTAGCAATGAATGAAGTTACTTGATTAGGTTCAATGACTGGCCCAGGGTCAATCACACAGTAAATTAAAATAACAAAAGAAGACGTCTTCCTACATTCCCAGTCAGTTGCTCAGAGTGACTCATAATACAAAAATACTTAGTCAAACCACAAGGCAAGCCATTTAAAGAATTGACGGGAAAGAAAATTAAATACAACTAACTCCCCTACCAAATATTCAAATGGGATTTTTGAAGACAGTATTATTTGAGAGCAGCTTATGAAAACACTCTGCAAATAATAAAGAATAAAAGGTTTTCTAGAGAGAACAGTAGTGAGTCTGCCACACTGCAGCCAAGCTCAGTACTAGTTTACATGCCTTCATCAGAGCAGCAGAGAATCAGGAGATCCTAATGCAATCATCAGAGGTGTGCTCAGCCTTCTTGCCTAGATGCAGAGTGGAACAGGTGGCTGCCAAACAGGAAGTCAAACAAAATTGAATCCATGGTCAACCTGAAAAGTTAATGTTATAAAAGAGCTGGGTGTAAAGTAAAAACAAGGCTATGGTAGACTATCATTTTTCATAAAGTACAACTGTGGATTTTAATGACAGCAAAAGTCACTGAAATAAGGAAACTGGATTTTGAAAAATCTAGATATTTTGGAATCTTGGAGTTCTAAAAAGGTATTGAATTCTGCTGCCACTTCTCAGTGACTTCAGTGAGTATATAGATGTACCTACATTGGCCACTGTCTTCTCCTTTGAAATCTTGATTCCTTTAAATCATTTTTGTGCTGGCAAGGACCTCCAGTACAATGTTGACTACAAGCTGGAATCCTTGTCTTGTTTCTCATTTTAAGGCTAATTTAAGGATGTTTTTAAAAATTTTATAGCAAAATACCTTTTGATAGATGTCTGATATCAGGTGAAGATTTCTTGTGTTTCTAGTTACTAAGGTTTCTGTTTTCATTTTTAAATCATGCTTAGGCGCTGAATTTTATCAACCTCTTCACCTGGAAGATTATACGATTCTTCTTCTTTAATCTATTCATGTGACCTTCTAATGTTAAACCGTCCTTTGTCTCCTGGGATTAAACTTAGTTAGGTCACAATGTGCTATTCTTTAAAATGATAAAATGTTCTGTAAATTTCTGTTAGGTCTATTTGGTCTAATATGCAGTGTAAATCCAACGTTTCTTTGTTAATTTTCAGTCTAGATGATCTGTCTTATGCTGAGAGTGAAGTGTAGAAGTCCAAACTATTCCTGTATTAGAGTCTTTCCCTTCAGGTCTAATAATATTTGCTTTATATATCTGGGTGCTCTGGTGTTGGGAGCACATATGTTTACAATAATTATATCCTCTTGATGAATTGACACCTCTTTCATTATATAATAATTTTGTCACTTTTTATTGCTTAAAGTCTGTTTTATCTGATGTAAGTATAGCTACTCCTACTCACTTTTGAGCACCATTTACATGGAACATCTTTTTCCATTCCTTTATTTTCAGTTTATATATGTCTTTATAGGTGAGAATTTTTCTTGTAAGCAGCGTATGGTTAGATCATTTTTAAAAATTCATTCAGCCAGTCTATATCTTTTAAGTGTAAAGTTTAATCTGTTTACATTCAAGGTTATTATTGACATGTGAGTGCTTCTTATCATTGTTTTACTTGATTCCTTATTGTTTTGTATATCCTTTTTTCTTTTATTTTTCTCTCATAATTTATCTTTGTGGTTTGATGACATTCTGTAGTGGTTACATTTAAGATTTTTCCCTTCCTTGTTTCAGTGTTTGCTCCACTGGTGGTTTTTATATTTGCATGTGTTTTCATAATGGTAGTTATTATTCTTTTGCTTTTGGGTGTAGGTCTCCCTTAAGTATTTCTTATAGGGCTGATCTAGTGGTGATATCTCTCTTAGCTTTTGCTCATCTGGGAAAGACATTATATCTCCTCCATTTAGGAAGGATAATTTTGCTGGGCATATTTTTAGCTAGCACATTTTTTTCTTTTGGCACTGTGAAGATATCATCCCATTCTCTCCTGTCTTGTTATGGTTCTGCTGAGAAATCTGCTGTTAGTCCAATGGGGTTCCTTTATATAGGTGGTTAGATACTTTTTTCTTGCTGTTTTTAATTTTTTTCTCTTTGTCTTTGATTTTTGACAGTTTGACTATAATATGCTGTGAAGAAGACCTTTGCGAATTGTATCTATTTGGGGATCTTTGACTATATCTGAATGTCTAAATCTTTTGCTAAGTTTTGAAGTTTTTAATCTATTATTTTATTAAATAGGTTTTCTAATTCTTTCATTTTTTTTCTTTGTTTCTTGGGACACCAAAAATTTGAATATTTGGATGCTTTATGGTGTCCCATATGTCTTGAAGGTTTTAATCTTTTTATTGTTGTTTTTTTTATTTTTGTCTGACTGGGTTATTTCAAAAGATCTGTACTCAAGTTCTGAGATTCTTCCTCCTGCCTGCTCTGTCTTACTGTTGAAGCTTTTGAATGTATTTTGTATGTTATTCAATGAATTCTTCAGTTCCAAAATTTCTACTTTTTAAAAAATTATCTCTTTGGTAAATTTCTCATTCATATCCTGAATTGTTTTTCTGATTTCTTTCTATCATTTTTCAGAATCTTCTTGTATCTCTCTGAGCTTCTTTAGTGATAGTATTTTTAATTTTTCCCTAGAATTTCATAAATTTTCCCTCCCTCCCTCCCTCCCTCCTTTCCCTCCTTTACTTCCTTTCCCTCCCTCCCTCCCTCCCTCCCGCCTGCCTTCCTGCCTGCCTGCCTTCTTTCCTTCCTTCCTTGCTTCCTTCCTTCCTTCCTTCCTTCCTTCCTTCCTTCCTTCCTTCCTTCCTTCTTTTGAGACAGGGCTTCACTCTGTCACACATGCTGGCATGCAGTGATTTGATCATAGCAGCCTCCTACCACTGGGCTTAAGTGATTCTCCCAACTCAGCCTCCTGCCTAGCTAGGACTACAGGCACATGCTACTATGTCTGACTGGTAAATTTCTTTTTATTGGGATCTGTTGCTGGATAATCATTGTGTTCTTTTCAAGGTGTCAAATATTCTTGCTTTTTCATGCTTCCTGTGTTCTTATGTTGATATCTACACATCTGGTATAACTGTTGCTTCTTCTAAATTTTTTGAAATTGTTTTTGAAAAGGGCAACTCTTTTCTGACATGTATCTATGGTATTGGTTGGGTAGGGTACTTTGCTTTTGAATCTGACTATATGTAATGGTATAGTCTCTGTATGACTTCTTCATTTGCAGACAAGCATGAGTGATGTCTGAGCCTTCCTTGGTGGCTTAGAATGCAGTTGTTATTAATAGAGGCTGTGATAAAGTTTTGCTGAGTATTATAACACTAGGTGGGCCAGTCTTTAGACCCCAGGCCAGTATACCCTGGTGCTGGTGTTGGTGGGTCCAGGAAGGCTGATTCTTGTGCCTCCTGGTTGCTTTCTCAGATGCTGGTAATGGCATCAGTGGGTCTGGCAAGTGAACAAGTTCTTAAGCCCCTGGGCAGTGGGTGTGGCATGGGCAATGGCAGTAGCAATGGTGGAACAACCATCTGGGACCCAAGTGGTCCATACCTGTGGTAGCAGTGGCTGCCAGAGGTTGGGTGAGCTGGCCCACAGACTTTCAGGTGGTGTGTATGGTTGGGTGCCAGCTGTGGTGGTAGTGCAA